GCAGTCCCCTCACACCAAAACACAAGGGGTTTATAGTATTTAATTATGCAAGTACAAGAGTGTAGACAAGAAGGAGAACAGCGACAACTCAAGACTAGACTAGAACAGAACTGGGGACCCACTGGAGCATGCGCTCTTCTATATGTGAGTCTCATTGCCAAGGGGAACGAGCGGGAAATACGAATAGTGAGTATGACATTGTACAGGTCGTAGCATAAATACACCTGTTATACAGTCACTACCGGGTTTTTTTTCTTCACTTGGTATTTTCTAGGTGAACATCCATAGCATAGTGGCGCCATGTAAAATCCTATCCCGTGGAGCCTTTTAAGGTGATATCCTTCGATCCATCGCGGCCCCTGCACCACACACAGCGACCTTATTCATGAGATTGGATTTCTCTGGCCAGACCCGTGTAGCTATTGCTATAGAACCTCCTTTTGAGTCATGCTTCCCGCTTACTAACAAGAGGTTCTGTCATTGTCTTTGTTTCACGTTGCACAGGATGCAACATCATGCGCTGCACTCGGCCAATCTATTGCTGTTCTTCGATACGTTTGGCATAGTGCAGAGATTCAATGGCAATTTGTCAATGGGTGAGTTGAGTGTGCACGCATGGACTGTTACTGCGAATCTTCGCCATCAAGTAAGCTTCAATGGGACCAATGCGTAATTGTCCCACCGTTTGGTCTTGCGGGGCAGTCGTACACACTGTGATACCAGTCATGAACTATGTACGGTCAAACTCGCACGTGTACTAGAGCTGGCCATACGTGCCAAATATGTGACAAGTCACCCCGCCGAAAAAGCTGCAGCCATGTTATATGCATAGGTGCCATAGGTCTGATTGCACTTACAGGCAGCAGTAGTGCATGGTAAGGTTCACATCATATTGCTAGTTCATTGTCGGATAATACACACTTTATTGTGCACATTCAAAGAGACATCATTGTATTTGTTGCTGTCATGCACCAAATGTATCTGTTTTAGTGCAAAAACAAAGCATTTCTTGTAGATGGCCAATCTGACGTTGACACTTTGAGCTAATTCCAATATGTTCCTCTTCACTAGACCGCATTGTGATCAGTCCGACAATTCACTCTCAGCTTCACAGATAAAACCTAACTATTAAAGTCGAAACGTCTTGCTGTTCAGAGATTGAGTACCCTAATTGTAGCTGGATGTCCAGGCAAATACAAGTAGAAGCGCCGTACTGATATGTTATCAGGACTAGTTTTCACACATGAATATCTCACCAGAAAACGGTTTAACTTGATACAACTCTTGTTTGATGTCGTAGTTCAACTACTCACAGGCCATTGACCTGTTGGTGTGAATCCTGCAGACGAGAACTATTCCCGCTTCAAGCTTCTTCTTGATCACATTGTTGGAGAGGTAAGCTATTTTGTATCTTGTAGCTGGTGATGGGTTAAACAATAACAAGATGTTAGCCAGCACGTCAGTCTGGCTTGTGTTGAAATTGAGCTTTAGGCAAACGTATCTAGAAACTTTTTTCATGATGACACCACACTGCAGGCTATTCTGCAAATCAAGAAGGCGGCTGAAGAAGCAGTGGCAAAGAAGGCAGCAGAGGAAGCTGCACGACTGAAGGCAATTGAAGAAGCAAAGCGCTTGGCAGAAACAATAGGTATGACGTCCTGTCATTGTGAATTATTGTGTGCTGTGGAGATAGAGAGATAGATAGATAGAGAGAGAGAGAGAGAGAGAGAGACAGAGAGACAGAGAGAGACAGAGAGACAGAGAGACAGACAGACAGACAGACAAACAGACAGACAGACAGACAGACAGACAGACAGACAGACAGACAGACAGACAGACAGACAGACAGACAGACAGACAGACAGGTAGACAGACAAACAGACAGACAGAGAGAGACAGACAGACAGAGAGAGAGAAAGAGAGAGAGAGAGAGAGAGAGAGAGAGAGAGAGAGAGAGAGAGAGAGAGAAGGGGAGGGACAGAGAGAGAAGGGGAGGGACAGAGAAAGAAGGGGAGGGACAGAGAGAATGGGAAGGAGAGGAGGAGGTGTGGGAGAACTGTGAAAAGAAAACCAGATCATCATTGTCAAAGTGAAGTGGCAATATACATTCATGGATGCGATCAGTAGTTTTGTATCACCAGGAGCACAGCTCTCAACTTCAAATGACACATTACGTCTCAACTTTCCTTTTTGGATACTAGAGGTTTGACTCTCTTTGTCACATAATATGCGTGGAAGTATCCTTCTTTAGTTCATAATGGATGACATTGTATCAGCTGGATTACACTGGACCTTCTAGTCTTTACATCATAGTCTGTTCTCTGCTGTGTTTTCCCTGCATAGTACCGGAATCACCACCCAAGACACCAGTTCCAGAAAGTGGAGGAAAGCCAGCCAAGGGCAAAGGTGGCAAAGGAAAGGCCAGCGGCAAAGAGTCAGGGGCAAAGGGAGAGAAAAGCGGCAAGGCATCGGCAGCAAAGGGGGAGAAGAGTGGTAAAGCTTCAGCAGCCAAAGGAGGAAAGGCTAGTGGCAAGAGCTCTGCAGCAAAGGGTGACTCACTTGCACCAAACGCAGCAGAACCTCCCGTTAGCCGTGAGCCTACACCACCTCCTCAGCCTGTCAGCCATCCATTTATTGGAAACTACACGTTCTGTACTACAGAAAAACCAGACTTGGTGAGTGCACAGGCAGGTCGTCAATGCTTAACCCTTTGTCCTTTTGCCCAAAATATATGTGAGGGGTACCTACTTCAACAAATCCACTCACCATACCCAAGCAGCTGATATTTTGTATGTACACTTTATGTTTTCCTGAAAGCTTATGATAATTGTGAACTAAAAATGCCGTTTGGGTTGCATTCCTCAGGTGGGCGTGGCTAATCAAGAGTATCAAAAATGATTTTTTGGCAAAAATCGGCAAAATTCAAAGTTCAAGTTCTTTAATAATAATAATAAACACAGCTCGCATCTTCCCTGAACCTGTTAGACAGGAGCAGAGTCGACGCATCTGTCAACAGTGTCAAGCCAAGTTAGTCTATCTCCTGCAGCTTGGAGAGCGCTCTCCACGGAGAGATCCGCTGCTTTCAGGTCGTGCCGAATCGTATCTATCCACCGCAATGGCGGACGGCCACGGGTTTTTTTTATGTCGTTTGTGTTGATTGATAGCTCCAGTGCTTGGAACGAGGCGGATTCCGGACCCTCTCGCACCACATGGCCAAACCACAGCAGCCTGCGTCGCCGACATGTGGCACTAACTGGAGATTGTTTTGTTTCTGTGTATAAGTTGTTATTGGTGATGCGTTGCGGGTAGACAATCTGCAGCAGTACGCGTAGCTTCCTCCGTTGCCATTTGTCCAGTTTGTCGTTCAGCAATTTGGACAGAGTCCACAATCCGCAATTGTATAGAAGGATCGGCATTATGAGGCAGTTAAACATACACAGTCGGGATTGAAAGGAATGCCGTCTCCAAGAAATCGAACCAAACGCCCTGTTTGCTTTTGAGATTCTCATGTCCACGTCTTCTGCAGAGCCCAATAGAGAACCCAGGAGTTTGATAGATCTCCATTCGTTGCTGTTTCTTGTAACATGAACATATTCAGTTTTCTGTGTATTGAGCTTGAGGTTGTCTTCGTTAAATATAGGTTCACACTCAGCAACAAGAGCCTTCGCCTCATCGTCATTTCGGTTATGCAGAGTAGTATCGTCAGCGTACTGCGTTGTTGGAGCAGGCATTGGTGAGCGAATTGTGCATCTTTCCCTGATCTTGCGCATTGTGCCTTCTGCATATGTTATGAACATAATAGGGGACATCGGGTCTCCCTGGACCACTCCGATGTTAGTTGGGAAAGGGGGACTCAGGGAGCCACTCAGCTTGATCCTGGCTGTCGTGTTGGAAAGTAGAGACTTGATGGTTGTTGTGCTGATATCTGCTTCCTCTAACCTGTCAAGTGCTGTGGTGCGAATTATAGTGTCAAAAGCACCAGAGAAATCTAGAAGGGTGACGGAATATGTCCAGTTGCCAAGCAAGGCCCGCTCACACAGCGACCTTGTGTAAAATACACCATCAGCGGTTGAGCGACCTGGACGAAATCCAGCCTGGGTTTCAGAGACATAAACGGTGATGTCATCCGTGCTACGTTTAGTAATAACTGACGTCAGCACCTTTCTCACTACAGAGAGTAACATGATGGGGCGATAACTTTTCGGTTTTCCGAGTGGCTTGCCTGGTTTGTATACAGGTACTACCAATCCACTGCGCATATCGTCAGGGCAATAACCAACACTCTGTATTGCATTGAAGAAAGAGGCTAGCCAAGGACTGAGGAGGTCCTTAGCAGCTCGTAGCATTTCCGCACTGACTCCATCGGGTCCCACGGCGCCTCCTTTTTTTTGTTTACTGATTGCTGAAGTGACTTCTTGGGTGGTAAACGGCAATTCCTCATCATTGATATCTTGCGAGCCACGGAAATCACAGGGTAGGTCAGGGCGATGAAATATTGACTGGAAGTATTTACTAAATGTGTCGAGATTCCATTGAATGCTTGTCATGATATTGCCATCATCGTCTGCCAGCCGAACAGGAGGAGTGTTGGTGTTCGACTTCATTTGGCGCAGATTCCGGATTGCATTGTAATAGGAGCGTGGGTCAGGTCGTAAAGCATCAGTAGCTTCTGCCTGCCTTTGCCAGAAGTCGTCTCCATCCTGCCTCAGTATTTTTCTGATTTTGTGCTGAATACTGTTGCGCTCTTCTTTTAGAACTTTTCTTCTGGCAGGATCTGGCTCAGCATGAATGCGTATGTGGAGATCTTTTTGGTCTTGGGATAATTGTTTTATAGTTGGATTTGTGCTCCGAGTTGGCTTAGCACGCCGAGGTTGAATACCAAAAGACGTACATGCAGCACCATGTACAGTCGACACAAAACTGTTCCATAGAGTATCAATTTCTCCCTGCGATGACGGTGGTGGTGACGCTACGACGGGTAGTGACTCAGACAGAATACGTTGATATTGTTTCTGCGTGTCGGCAGAAGGCGGGTTATATGTTACAAAGCATCGGTGGTTGGCTTTTGGAGCATTGTTCGACTTCTTGAAAGAAAGTCGAACATCCGCGATTACTGGATGATGATCCGATCGGGTTATGAAGCCTCCGTATGACCGCGCGTTAGTGACAATTGACACGTCCGATTTCCGTACCATGATAAAATCTATCATGTTCCTGACTTGATTCCCATCGTTATGACACAAGCCATCAGCAAACCACGTTGCACGATGCTGCATGCGGTGCTTGAACATTGTGTTAACTAGTAGCAGGTGGTGTATCTCACAAAATTCAATTAGACGGCTTCCATTGTCATTACTCATTCTGTGTTTTGAGTACATTCCTACTGGGTTCGATGAGCCAGCTGGCGAACTGCCTACCTTGGCATTCATGTCACCCAGTACCCACAAGACGTCACGACGATTAACATTTCCAACAGCTTTGCTCAGCAAAGAATAAAATTCATCAGCCTCAACAGGGTTAGCTGTGGAACGTTGTAGGGTAGGAGCGTAGCAGCAGATGGTTGATACCCCTCTACTGTTACGACTTCCAGTTAGCAGTATCCGCAGCGAAACTACTCGGTTCGAATAGAATTGGTACGAATCGATATTTCTTACAATATTTTTATTGACGAGAATTCCTACTCCAGCTCTGGACGAAGTGCCTCCAGAACGATACAATGTGTGGCCATTGTCCAACACATCGATACCGTTGCCTTCCATCCATGTCTCAGTCAGGCCGAGGACGTCCAGGCGGTAGGTATCAAAGTCCTGAATAATCTGTTGTTTTTTGATTTTAGTCCGCAGCGAACGAACGTTGAACGTGCCAACACGGCACGACGGCGCTCCAGCTCTTTCATGTCTCCGGTGAAAAACAAGCCCAGGCTTCAGGCTATCACTACTCATTTGTCAAAAAAACTTGGCTTTCCTATGTATAAATAATGTGCAATTTGTACAAGTGTGACCTGGAGTAGCACCACTGGCATGTTGGACAAACACAGAGCATTAGCCAGAGGAGCGACAGTGGCGACAGGCTCGACATTTCGGCCCCGTGTGGCGACTCTCCTCGCTCTGCGCGGCTGTCGACCATGAGTTTGACGCCGCGCAGGTGACGGAGATCTGGACCTCTCTGGGATTGAACTGCGCTCCCGCTCCACGTGCTGCGGCACTCTAGCTGGCCCTGCTGCTCCACAACGGGTAAGACACGGCGGTGGTACACTCTCCTCACCACTCGAGTGCTGTTCTGCCGATCCTGCACTCAAATCGGAGTGGTCGACATGTCCGACAGTTGGGTCGACGGCTACATCATAATCCGCGTCGTTACCAAAATCAGAATCAACCCCTTCAACTAAGGCTTCGTCCAGTTCGTCCTCGTCATCAGAGGACATAGGATTGTCGCTCGGGTCACTCCAGCTATCCTCAAACAAGCGCTTCATCTGCATCAAGCGACCTGCGTGCTGCCATGTCGGAAATTACGGCGCAAGCAAACTTCGACTTTGATTTCCTGAAAATTTTCAAATGGCAACTAGCCCCAGCGACCATAGCATAGGCTGTGTGCACGTGAATTTTCATGTGGATCGGGTGATCCGCGTAGCTTCCAGGTCGCTTTGAACATGCGTGGGTTGAACCGTACACAGGTGTACGGTTCAAGTATGGGCGAAAGGACAAAGGGTTAAGCATTATTTGCGTACCCATTGATTTCTGCTGCTGTAGCATTGATATCACTAATATTAATAATGAAATTGCATTTAAAATACAAGCTGAGAGCGAGTGGACGGCTTGTGTGCTCCAGACGGCAGTCGTGAGTCAGTCAAGTGTCCGTCAGTCGGCAGGAAGGGCGAACTCCAACGCGTGGAGCAGCCATCTTCTTCTAAATTGCATATACTCGTCTCTGATCTTAGCTAAGTGCGTTGGGTCGCAAGTCTCCGTGGCAGTATGACACTGTAATGGGCTTTCTCCAAGTTTTGCTCATTGTGAGTGGTTTGCTCATTGTGAGTGGTGATCTCATTGTGAGTGGTGATCTCATTGTGAGTGGTGATCTCATTGTGAGTGGTGATCTCATTGTGAGTGGTGATCTCATTGTGAGTGGTGATCTCATTGTGAGTGGTGATCTCATTGTGAGTGGTGATCTCATTGTGAGTGGTGATCTCATTGTGAGTGGTGATCTCATTGTGAGTGGTGATCTCATTGTGAGTGGTGATCTCATTGTGAGTGGTGATCTCATTGTGAGTGGTGATCTCATTGTGAGTGGTGATCGTACAGCAAACATGCCAAGGTGTAGCCTGCAGAGGAAGTACAAGTAGCTCAGGCGCATGGTTTTGTTGTCAAATGTGGACACTTTTTTGTGACATTAGCAACAGTTGTTCTACGTACTTCAAAGTATGCGTGGCAACAGCTCAAATGAAAATGCCTCCGATTTTTCTGTACAATTGTTTGGCCAAATTTACTCTTTCCATTCCTTTCTTGATTTTAATTTCCTTACCACTGCTGGCAATAACTAATGTACGTTAAATTGAAGTGTACTCTGTTTGATATGATACAAATAGGATTCACTGGCAGCAACGGCAACAGCAGCAACAGCAGCAACAACGAACAAACAATTTAGTGTATGCTGCTTTGTTCTCACCACTATTGCTTTTATGTTTTGTTTTGTCCTCGGCTTTGCTGCACCATTACACATGTGGTTGTTACTTGCAGGCACTCGTGGATCTGCTGCTCAATCTATGGAGAGATATGGAACAGAAGTACTATGCTGCTGTAGAGTTCGCGTTCCAAAAGATACGCTTCCAGCGGGAGGCAAGCGTGCAGAATATTTTCGAAATGAGGTGAGTACTTGGTAGGGGGAGAGGGGGTGCAATGTGGGGAGGGGGGGGGGGGTGAGTACTGGGTCGGAGGAAGGAGCAGGGCGCAATGTGGGGTGAGTACAGGGTCGAGGGAAGGGGAGGGGGCGCAATGTGGGGTGATTACAGGGTCGGAGGAATGGGAGGGGCGCGCCAAGTGGGGTGAGGGGTCGGAGGAAGGGGGAGAGGGGTGCAAAGTGTGGTTACTACCGGGTCTGGGGAGTGCAAATTGGGGTGAGTACTGAGTCGGAGAGAGAGGGGGGGGGGGGAGTGGGATTGCAGCCGTACCAAGTATAGCAACGAAGGGTATCGGAGAAGAAGGGACAGGACTTGTTGCAGGAGTGGATGGTTAGAGGATAACGCTGTTTACTGCTTCTCAGGTTTCTTCTTTTTCAGAGTTCAGATGGGCAAGATAACTTGTCAATGGGATATTCGTAAGGACCTTGAAAATTTGGTTTCGGTCATGAATATGGAAATGATGTGACGATTAAGCTTTGCCTCCCTCCTCCAATGTGCCCTGCCCTTTCTCCACAAACTACATGTATGAACAAGTGTTCTCGAAACTGAAGCAAAAGTTACTTCAGAATGTAAACAGTAGAAGTCAGACGACTCTGTTGTGCCATGTGTCCTCTTTCTGAGAGCAGTGCTTTTGCTACCGTGGCGTGGCTACTTGACAGCATTGCTGGATAGTGAAATATCTTGATTAAACGTCACGTTGAGAAATACGCCTGTTTTGAATAGAAGCCTGGCCAGCCAAGGACTCCCTGCATAAGCCTGCTTCTGTGCCGGCGTATGTACCACATGTAGATATGCCTTGGGTCTGTACAATTATAGAATTTCATAATTGTATTTTCCTGGAAAACTTCATAACTACCGCAAAGTAGAGCAAGAACGTCCCCCCCCCCCGCCCTCATCTCGTCCTTTCGTGGTCGTATTGCGGAGGTGATGTCCTGTCTGTACATTTTGTAGGCCATACAACACGAACCTCGTACACACATTGCGCGTTGTGCAGTCAATCCGTACTCAATTTATCTTAGAGCGGACACGAGCTCCACACAAAAACCTGCTAAGTGTGACCTTAGTACGCTATGGTTCTTATTTCACACCCTGCAAACTTTGTTGCACTCTGCCATACGATTATCCTTTCCCTAGCTGTAAAATCAAGGTGGGGTGCTCACGGCATATGTCTACTGTGTACTGTAGAGGCAGAAAATTTCGTCGGTCAATAATTTCGTCCAACTCCAAAGAAAAGGAGTTCGTCCGGTTGGAAATTTCGTCCATGGGTCATAAGAGTGTATAGAAACGCTGGACAAATCGATATTTGTCCTACATTTTATTTAGTCCAAAAGCTCCTTGGACGAAAAAGACGAAATTAAATTCCAGACGAATATTTCTGCTTATACAGTATACTGTTTGATTGGGCAGGTCTAGGCTACTCAAGCGGTTTCAACTTGTCGAGCAAGAGGACCCTGAGTATCTGGACGTCTTCTCGGCGGAGCTCCTTGCCATCCAGCTGCTGAGACGTGCCAAGGAGGCCGGCATTCAGAAGAGCGACCTGCACTTTGCAATACAGGTAAGAGACTGCGCGCGTGTGTGTGTGCGTGCGCGCGTGTGTGTGCGTGCGCGCGTGTGTGTGTGCGTGCGCGTGTGTGTGTGAGTCATTGTGTCATCGTGCTACCTACAGATGCACTGTGTCCACTGGTGGCTTTAGTTACTGCACAACAGCATCACCAATTCACCGTATCGTCTCCTGGAATGATTTCATGCTGTTCATGTATGTCACAGATCAGCATATATTATGGTTACATGGTTGTTCATTCTCTTATGGTCACAGTCATGTAGATCATTGGTTGCTATGATACATACTCATGGCCGCCTGACTTTTGGTTCTGTGAATACACTTTATATCATACACACGCACACGCACACACACACACACACACACACACACACACACACACACACACACACACACACACGCACGCACGCACGCACGCACACACACACACACACACACACACACACACACACACACACACACACGGGCGCTTGCACGCACAAGCCAAAAGCTGCTCCTCCTGTATTCCGATGTTGCGTGGATCTACGTAAATAAGATTCATTTTCATTGTACATGTATATCGGCTGCTTTGCAGGGCATTGCTGCAGACCTGCTCACTTGCTGCGATGCAACAGCCAAGAATACTCTGGGAGATATTGCTGCCTGGAGACGATATGCCTTTGTTGAAGATGGAATTGGATACATATCGAACATCTTCATCAGCTTTATGCAGGTATGAAGGTTGCTCTTAGCCGTTTGTTGACCATCAAAATTGTTCGAGCTTGTGTGGTAATGGTTTTTTAATTGTCCTTGAACTAGAAACAGATTTGGAGATGGAAAAATGATAGGCTGCAGGGGAAAGGGTATAAACATTTGAGTTCAAACTATATTCACCAGCTCGCTATTCATCCTTCCCTGCCATGCATCTCAGGAATGCATTTCATGTGTGGTAATTAGTCCTAGTGCCTGTACAAGGTAAGAACGCACGCCATTTGAGAACACACGCCATTTGAGTGCTGCTTTTAGACTCTATGCTCTGCAGTCAAGTATTCCTGTTTTTGTTTTTGTTTTGTTGCAGGCTGAGTTACTGAAGTTCCAGACCACGTGCCGCATCATGTTTGACTACTACAACATGCTAGAAGGTAGGATATGCCAGGGGACTCAAAGCTCTTCATGACAACGTAGACACGCCAAGACTGTAACGGTGTGCAGTCTTCCTGCCGTCCGTAGTGCAAGATGCCATGTCAGCATTGGTGTGCGTCATGGTTCTGTGCTATCGTCGATCTGGCGCCTTGCATGAGTTCAACAGACTGTAGCATTACATTTTCAGATTTCTGTGATCATCTACCAGGTCTCTAATTGAGGCACTTGATTTCGGTTGCTAAAGTGCCATGTAATCTCCTTGCATTACACCATTCACGGTTGGTTACAAATGGTGCACACACGAGGAGTGCGGAGAATGGGGGTAAGGGTTTTGTTTCTATGTATGCCACGTCAGGGGTTGGGGGTAAGGGTTTTGTTTCTATGTATGCCACGTCAGGGCACGTCAGGGCACGTCAGGGGTGTCGGAAGGTATTTTAAGGTGGTACGGTCATCCACCTGAACTACAAATTACTCGTGGGGTTGGGGTGGCTTCTCTAAAAAAAATTCAAATTTAGAGCCCAAATCAGTGCTTTTCATTGATTCACGGGTTGGTAGCTGGGGCACAGAGTGGTACGGTCAATACAGTAGTGACCGTAGCGTGTCCGACGCCCCTGCACGTATAGTCGCCATCTTCAACGAACTTTCAAGAACTGGCATAAAACAGTATCGTAGACGTTGTGCCTCACACGTTCCTATTCCAATGACAATAGCTCTTGTGGGGAAGGTCTGACAGCCGCATCAGGCATAGAAGCAGCTCGCTATGATGGGATCACCTGAAAACCTTTGTTCTTCCCTTCTTTTTTTCAGGATTGCAGCCAAGCAAAAGCACTGAGAAGATACACTTCCTGCAGTTCCTCAAGGCAAGTATTAGCCGACCTTACCAATTATTTCTTATTCTGGTATGCAGGCAATGTGCCTTGTTCATATAGCTGCAGTTCCCTTCATACTTGTACTGCTTCTGACTGAAGGTCTATATTGGTGTGTTGTATGTGTTGTGTGTTCAGGTTCCTACAGCCAAGGTTGCAGTTGGTCTGATTCTACCAGAGCATGCCGACGATCTGGTGCGCGAACATGGCGGCGTCCAAGCTGGTACACTTCCAAGTGCTGTACCTGGCTCCTGTCCTGGTGTTGATGCAAGCGCTGGTGCTGATCGGCCTAGGGACAAACACAGTACCAACAATGTGTGAGTTTGTGAAGCGTGTGTTTGTGTGTGTGTGTGTGTGTGTGTGTGTTTGTGTGTGTGTGTGTGTTTTGGTTTGCGTGTGTGTGTGTGTGTGTGTGTGTGTGTTTGTCATTTCGAAAAGCTTTGTATTGTAGACCAAGCTTGAAAGTGGCGGTCAATTGTTCAGTCCTAAATGCTGTTCAATGGTGCAATCCCATCACAACGTTGCTATGGCTTCTGCTATAGCATCGCTAACGTTGCCTCTGGCGATGGACGTCTTAAGATCTAAAGGTGTGTGTGTATGTGTGCCTGTGTGTGTTAGTGTGTTTGTGTGTGTGTGTGTGTGTGTGTGTGTGTGTGTGTGTGTGTGTGTGCGCGCGCGCGCGTGTGTGTGTGGTTGTGTCCCATATGGTGCAGTGGTATGTGCAGCGATTTCCAATCGAGAGGTTGCGGGTTCGATTCCCGACGATTATGGTCACACACGTCTTTCTTCTCTTTCTCAGACTCCTCCTGACTTTTCTTTCATTCTCCTGGGTGGTTACCAACAGCCAGTGCATGCCGGAGTATGTGGTGTGATGTGTGTGCGGAAAAATATGAAAAAGACCAAGAAGTAGAGATTCACTGGCCAGAAAAAGCCACTCCATGGCTGTGTGGTGTAGACCAGGCTGAAAAGTGGCGGTCAATTCTTCAGCCTTGCAAAATGTTGAATGGTGCAATCCCAGTACCAGCTGCTATGGCTTCTGCTGTAGCATCGCTATCATCGCCTCTTGCGATGGGCGTCAAATGGTCAAGTGGTCAAATGGTGTGTGTGTGTGTGTGTGTGTGTGTGTGTTTGTGTATGTGTGTATGTGTGTATGTGTGTGTGTGTGCGTGCGTGTGTGTGTGTGTGTGCATGTGTGTGCGTGTGTGTGTGCTTGTGTGTGTATCTGTGTGTATCTGTGTGCTCAGACTGACGTTTATCACTCAAACAGGTTCAGTGTACAGCACAGACACATCCGCACAAGAAGGACAGCAGCAGGACGTTCCGGCGTCTCAAGCATCAGCTGCAGCAGCAGCAGCAGCAGGAGAAGCAGGTCAGGTCGGCTCGACACCAGCAGCAGCTGAGTCTGCAGCAAGTGAAGCTCCCCAAGTAGCTACTTCCACTGGGCTTTTTGGTGAAGAGCCCCAGCCAGCTGATCGCGTGGTACGGGATGTGGGTGCCCAGGCCGAGGAGCAAGTACAGATTATTGTAAGTGAAATAGAGTGCCATAGTACCCCATACAAGACATATACCATGACGTCACTCACTATAATACAATTCGTACACGGTGATGTCATTCACTCCATACACTGCATATACGGTGATGTCATTCACTACATACAGGTATACATAATGCTGTCATTCACTCCTTGCAAGGAATACACAATGATGTCATTTGCATACTAATAATTATGTTGGTTGCACTACTACCCAGAAGACTGTCGTTACAGCAACCCAATTCTGAACGTCGTCCTTCTGAATAGTTTGCAGTATCACGTTTGATATGATATGAATTGTTACAGTACAAGCGACTGGAGGAGAAGTACAAGGCGCCAGCTGTGGTTCATGCGCCCCCAGTTGAGGAGGTCAACGAAAAGAATCCGAAGAAGAAGGAAAAACCGGCAAAAGGTGGCAAGGTAAGGAAAACCGGCAAAAGATGTCAAGGTAAAATGTCCCGAGAGTGCAGACGCTGGTTATTGGCAAGTCCCGTGTGCAAATCATATTTTCCATGTTTCCACAGATTGAAGTTATTCTCTAAGGAAAGTTTCCATTGTCAAAAACATGGAATGATTGCTGCCAATTGTTTACTGAATATTGAAGTAGTTCAAAGCAGCCATATCTTTACTTAACTCATTGGACAAGTGCCACTGTTTCGACACCATACCATAACAACTAATTGATGCATTGGTGCTTGCAAACTCTGTCCTGTGGAAATAGAGAAGAAAAGAAAAAAACATGAAGGGGGCAATTTGACCAAGGAATTCTGCTTGGGAGGTTTGGGAACTTCCAGTAAATGTAGCAGGGAGTTGCATCATATAGAGGCGGAGTATTTCAGCATAGTTATAGTCCTCACCAGTGAGTTATGTCCAGGCGGAAACGCATATTTGTCTCCTTTTCTAATGCCATTGGCTGTAGGGTGGCAAGGCAACTCCCGCTAAGGGACGGAAAGGCGCAGAGTCAGCTGTTCCAGAACCGGCTCCAGTGGATCCTGCTGCAGAAAAGAAGGCCGAGCGCGTTCGCAAGATCCGCAAGGAAGCCCTCGCCAATCTGGAGATGGAGAAGGAACGGTGCATGGAGCGCCTCTACACCATCCAGAGAAATGCGTCCACGATGATGCAGGAGCTACAGGTACTGTTCAACAAAATACGTGCGCCAAGTGATTAAGATTATAGCGACTTAGTCTTAGAGTATGGACACTTCCTAGTAGGCCTCTGGCTTGCTGGAGCTCTCCAGTACAGAAACTGACATGTTTCTTGGCCTTTACCTTCATGGAAATTTCCAACTGATAGAAATAGAAAGCATCGGTACCAACGTGATAATGCATCTCACCTGTTTTTAATGTTGTGGAGTAGAGGTGGGCCTGAGTCGCTCGGAGTGTTGAGCGTTTCCGCCTATATATTTCACCCCTTCTGTGTCCATTACTGTCCTTTCCCAATCCAGGAACGAACGGAGAAAGTGTACACGAACATCGCTGAGTTAGCTGTACAGATGAGAGAGGCGAAGAAGAAGAGGTACGTATTTTTGCATCTCTTTATAGAGCTAGGCATAGTTGGCCCGAGATAGGGCAGACTTGTACCTGGATGGGGCATGATCGTACCTGGATGGGGCATAATTATACCTGGATGGAGCATGATTGTACCTGGATGGGGCATGATTGTACCTGGATGGGGCATGATCGTACCTGGATGGGGCATGATCGTACCTGGATTGGGCGCAATCGTACCTGGATTGGGAGCAATCGTCCATGGACGGAGCGCAATTGTACCTGGATTAGGCCTAATTGTATCTGGGCTGTTCAGACTCATACATGGATGGAGCAGATCGTACATGGACGAACAGCATTGTACATTGAAGCTAATCTAAACTGAGATAATGCTTTACGGGTGTGAGCAATCCCAATGACGCTACTTGCAGCATCTTCTGTTCTTCCCTTCGTCTGCACTACTTTCACTCACTTATCTTTACTGATTCCTGCAGTATAATGGCAGCTATGGAACTGGTTGAAGACGCCATGGAAAGGCACGAAGAGTTCCGCTTTGCAATGGACATTACAGAGACGGAGCTGAATATTCACGAGGTACGTTCCTGACTACATGATGCCGATAGATTCACATCCCCCATAGTCAGTGTTACTTCGCTGACCGGGGGATGACAGCACTGATTCCTTATACGGGGCAATGATAAGTGAATATTCTTGCTGTGAAATTATTTATCTGTTTATTTATTCCACATCCTCAGATAGAATTTAGTCGCCACTAAAAAGGAGAGAAGGTGAAGAACAACCATGGCTGAAAATCCCCAGTGAGAAGTAGAAATATAAGGAATATAAAATGGAAAAAGGAAAGAATGTAGCAAGAAGGGAACTGGTTTAGTGCTGAAAGTGGAGCGTTAAAGTCTCTCACACATATCATGAACTTAATGACAGAGGAAAGAACAAGCAGCTCGGCGAAAGCAGAGAAACAGATTGACATCCATTACTCGACCGCAGTGAAACATAATATGCGCAATGCTGGGCATCGACTGGATATAAGTGCTGTAACAAGGCGTATAAGTTTGTTCTCTGTCTCTGGATTGAACTGTCACTCGGCAGGATCGGATTGTCGGCCATGCATCACCGCCCCACGCAGCGCCGAGTTTGTGCGAGCGTGCTGTGCCAGGTGTACCACTGGCATGTGACCTGGAAGAGTTCACTGATGAGATGTTTGCCGAGCAGGACCAACAGCCCATGCTGTCTGGTGATGTCATGGACGCGCTGGAGCGAGACGTGTGCTGCACGGTGGTACGTGTGGGCAAAGCAGAGACTGTTGTATTGTTTGTGTGGGGGGGGGGGGCATTTTGTGTGTGTGTGTGTGTGTGTGTGTGTGTGTGTGTGTGTGTGTTGTGTGTGTGTTTTTGTGCTTTTGGGTCAAAGGAGAATGTTGCGTATGTTCGCGCATCAGAAGGAAGTGCTGCATGCAGTGTTCGCACCCTTGTTTGCATCTCTCGCTGTTTGCTGTCTGTATTTCGGTTTGTATACTGCACACTGGAATAGTGGAGCGAAAACAACGAACAGTGCCCAATGCACTAGTTTGGAGCAAGTTGCTGACTGAATTAAAACCCACTCTGCACAGAGAATTGCATTTTTCTCCTTCTCTCTCTCTCTCTCGCTCTCTCTCTCTCTCTCTCTCTCTCTCTCTCTCTTTCTTTCTTTCTTTCCTTCTTTCCTTCTTTCGACCTGCCTGCCTGTCTTTCTTTCTTTCTTTCTTTCTTTCTATCTATCTCTCTATACCTGCCTCTCTCCCTATCTCCCATCTCTCCAGTTGTGTTCTCTAAGCACAGTCTACCCTCGTTAAGTCGCACCCTGACCCTGGAGACAAAAACTGCAGGGCCTAAACATTCAAAAGTACATCTACATGTATATCTGTTCGCATCACGAATCTGCACGAGTGCATGACTTAAATTTAAAAAGAACAGTGTGATGGATCACAAGTAGACTGCTTGCACTGTATCACTATGTCAAGAACAAGCAGGAAACCAGGCAATAAGTTTTTTTTCTTGTTGGTTTTTACATGTCGTCATAGCTCCCAGATGACGGGACCACTCAGGACAAGGATTGGCGTCTTAGAGCACTGACCATCTTGCTCTCTTCAGTCAAGCCACTATCACAGAGCCTTCTCCTGCAGTTGGCTGACATGCTGAAGTCCGAAGACAAGGGGAATAGTGGGTACATCAGTCACGCTGACTTTCTCAACAGGGTAAGACATGGATAACGAATACTGTAAACAATATTATCGATAACCTTCTCTTAGTACTCGCACACTTTGCCTGCCTCTGTGCCTGCTTAGTACTCGCACAATGCATTGCAGCCGTTTAGACATCAGGAACATCAGAAAGCTTTCATCTTCACCCTAATGATGACCGTTTAGACATCAGGAACATCAGAAAGCTTTCATCTTCACCCTAATGATGATGATGGTGGGCCATGCTCGAGTGAACACTCTAAGTGGCGTATGCAGCGAAGAGACCGTGTCGAGTGTTCGAGTTGAGGGACCCTGAAGTATTATCGATGTGCTTAGAATCGGGTGCAGTTGAGTTGACCAAAGAGATGGTAACTGCCTTCTTCCAGGGGGCAACGACTTGAAAACCCTTGCAACACAACGGCTTCGAACCAGCAAGCATTTTCTTCAAGAACACTGAACAAGCCACTCCACCACAATGCCCCACTTGCTCTGCTGAAAAGTAGACAGACGTGGGAGGGAATGACCTGATACACCATTTGAACAGCTCTCATGCACAGCGGATTGTGTTTTTGTTTTTGTGGGAAATTGTATTTTTTTTCAGTTCAAGGAGTGGCTTGACGGAGAGCCCGATGGGTTTCTTCATGCTCAAGATGATGACATTGACCGGATGTTGGATGTCACAGAGGTAAGTGCAAAGCTTTGGTGGCTTGTACAGCTAAAGTTCATTCCGATTAACCCTTTATGTACCGCGCATCTAATGTATGCGTAGGGTACCCCTCGTCAATGATGGACCTATAGGATAAAATCTAGACGCATTTTGTGTGTGCAAGTTATGTTTTTCTGAATCTATGGTAATGAATGGGTCCATTTGTCAACATATTGTAATCCAGCATGCAACTAATAGTAGAGGGCATACACGGAATACCCTATTATGAGCCAATTGTGCGTAATTCTGACAATTGAGATCGCTACATTTGAAATAAAGTATAGTCGTATCAGGGACGGCCATTGGGACGCACAGTGACAGAAGGATACCACAGGCACGAGTTGCATGCATGAACAGCAACAGAAGGGGCGGAAAACGGATGTATCGTCTAAATACCAGACGCAAACAATTGCGTCAAATATTCAAATTATTGCAATTATTTCAGATTTGAGATATGTAGTTTTTGCTGATCTACTCACGTCGACCGAGGATTGGTGATTGAGAAGACAAGAAATAGGTACTAGGGTATGACCTCCGCCTACCGTGGTGATTTTATGCCATCGCTGCCCTCCCTCTCGCTGCTACTTGGAGAGCGAATGCTGTGATGGCTTCAGCGATGAAAATTGGCAGTTTCGATTCAGATCCTGAGGAGATATCGCTACTTCAGCTCTCTCCAGGTGTCTACCACGACTAGAGGATGTCTACACTAGCTGGAGAAGGCTATATCTCTATTAGCAGCAGCGTGACGGAACGAAAACACGATCGAAATTGGCAAAATATATCGCAGAGCGCTGCATTTGCGAAGCGCACTTTTCGCCGCGATCGGTCTCCATACTTTCAAATGGCGACCTACCCATATCATACATCAAAATTTTCAGTGGGATCTCAGCTGTCCACTGCAAAAAACCGCGAGTGAATCAGAGAAAGGACGCCGCCGAACGGCGCGTCCAAGTGCGGCGCGCCGAACCGTAAATATTTTTACGGTTCGAGATGGTCGCGGTACATAAAGGGTTAACGGAAACCTGTGCTGTTAATGCACCGCGGCTCTTCATAGCTGTGGTGATGTTACTTGACTAATTTCAATACCATGTACAGTCGTGTTCACTGAAGTCTGAGCTCAGGGGTAAGTTTCAGAACGCTGCACTGCACCAGAGCGCCTACATGTCCCAGTGTGTCAGGTGAGTGACTGTACATGTCAGTACGGGACTCATCTAGTTGGATTTCATTGAGCAGCACTGCCGTGGCTCTAAAACATAGGTCATGTTTTGTTGCATGCTTGCCATTCTCTCCTTCTTTCTCTCACTCACTCTCTCTCTGTCTCTCTCTCTCTCTCTCTCTCTCTCTCTCTCTCTCTCTCTCTCTCTCTCTCTCTCCCTCTCCCTCTCTCTGTGTCTCTCTGTGTCTCTGTCTCTTTCTCTCTCCCTCTGTCTGTCTCTGTGTCTCTCTCTCTCTCTCTCTCTCTCTCTCTCTCTCTCTCTCTCTCTCTCTCTCTCTCTCTCTCTCTCTCTCTCTCCTCTCTCTCTCTCTCATTTTCTCTCTCTCTCTCTCTCTCTCTCTCTCTCTCTCTCTCTCTCTCTCTCTCTCTCTCTCTCTCTCTCTCTCTCTCTCTCTCTCTCTCTCTCTCTCTCTCTCTCTCTCTCTCTCTCTCTCTCTCTCTCTCTCTCTCTCTCTCTCTCTCTCTAACAGTTTCTGTTCAAGGCACTGCACAAGAAGGGCAGGCTACCCTACATGACCATGGTAAGTTGATATCAGCAATGCTGTGAAATGTGTGTGTGTGTGTGTGTGTGTTCCCGTGCATGTGTGTGTGTGTGTGTGTGTGTGTGCGCGTGCGTGCCGCATGGCCTGCAACCTTGAACCTTCTTGAGTGTGACAACCCATCCCAGTGACTGAAATGTGCATAGCATGCACTGCTCTATATATGTGCACTGGGTGCCGGCAGCACATCCAGTACCTGGAGTAGCAATGGTCTCAGTCTTTGAGGTCATGCTAAGCAATCCACCGACATGGTTATATAAACAGTAGCCAATGACTTCATGTAGTGTATATCTTGTTGTATATAGTTGTACCGTAAAGTACCGCCAGAGCGCCCCACCATCTCGTCCTTTCATGGTCGTATTGTGGAGGTCATCTCCTGCCTGTAGGTCATGCGACACGGACCTTGTACACATATTAGACGTTATGCAGTCAATCCGTACTCAATTTACCTTCAAACGGACACGAGCTCCACACAAAAACCTGCCAAGTGTGACCTTAGTATGCTAAGGTTCTCACGCCGTACAAACTTTGTTGCAACAGCCTTACGATTTTCCTTTTCCTGGCTGTAAAGTCAAGGTGGGGCGCTCTCGCGAGACGGGGCGCTCTGGCGGTACTTTACGGTACTTGTAGATGATTTGATAAGCGTATCATCTACACGCATACTCTTGCACTCTTATCACCTTCACTGGTCGCCATTTTAGTTACCTACCAGAAACCCAAGAATGCAGAAACACACAGCTACACACACACAAGACTGAGGTAGAAATCACGGTTTGCACACCGGGGTCATTGCGGATCAGTGCAGATAACACACATCCAGCAAAACCTGGTGTAAGCGACCTCTGGGTTTAGCGACCACCTGCTCTGAACGGCCGTCTTTCCATGCACCGACAGTTCTACACAGACACTGTGGGACCTGGTTCTAAAGACCACCTGGCTTTAACGACCGCTTCTGTTTGCACAGTGGGGTTGTCCCTTAAACCAAGGTTTTCCTGTACATGCACATCTTCAACACAGGGAAGAGGAACACATTGGATTTCTGTGTCGTGTTCGGTTTGTTGCCCAGATTTTGCTTCTATGCAATGCATCAACTCCTCTGGAAGGCTTTGTCAATATGCTGGCCGTTTCGACAGGGAAGAAGATTGACATGGTAAGGTAGAAGGGCCTCCTATTAGAAATGATACCGTAGTGTAAAGTCCAGTGCATCATCGCTCATCCATGCCCTAGTTATCCGTACTTTCACTAATTTACTATCCAGCCGCTCAAGAAGACATGTTCTACGAAAGTAAGGGAACTCTGCCGTGCTATCTGTGCAGGACGTCCGCTGGAGCTGTGCACGCTCACGAACGTCTGTTGTAAACTGCAGTAGCCTTTTTGATAAAGCAAAACCTCTGCATAAAGTCACCCTGTATGTAACATACAAAACAGAGAGGTGCAACATACAAATGGATAAGAAGTACTATTTTTGATGGCCCCGCAGCATGCAATACCAGTCATTTGACCTTGGATGTACAGGATCTCAGCTGTAAAGTACCAGGTACAGATGTTTACAGCCTGTGTTATACTGAGGTCTCACTGTGCAGAGAACACCCACATGCAGGAGAATTAGTAGCAAAGCCAGTAGTTCAGTATAACAACACCAGGATCAATTCAGTATGTGTCGGCAACACGAAGAAATGGAACTTAACAGTGTGCTATACCTATGCTAGAAATAGGGGAGGACGAGTATTTCTTGTAGGCTTTCGGGTCAGAAGCTTCTCAATGCATGCCGCAAATCATGTAAATATGCCTGAAAGGAATTCTAACACGAAAGAGAATATTGAGTCTAGACTACTGTCGGAGGCTGTGTATTCATCTAGGTTGTGCTGGTACAGCTGAATGCCGCACTGTTATTTACACCTGACTTTATGAAAACCCCGCAAAACATGATTATGTACATCACATCCAGATTGGCAGTGAATAAGCTCTTTTGTATGCTAACACGGACACCTGGCTTTTACCTCAGATGACGTTTTCCAATGTGATGCCTCAAGTTTCCGTGTATCTATCCATAGGTTTAATGTTTGGTTGCTCTTCCGCATATTTTCCAACCTTCCCCAGTACGATGATGCTGCAGAGATTCCCCTTCTCAGTATCAACAAGGTAAGCACCGTTTGCTGATGTGTACTGCAAAGTGGTAGTCCTCATCAGTGGCATTGCTCTGTGCTGATTCTTGATCTAGACAATAGAACGAATGGATTTGTCTTACGGCGAGTGCTGAGCTTAGTTGCTGTTCACACATTCTCACACTGAGAGCCAAGGTCCACCAGAAGACTGAAGAAAAAGCTGAATGGTCACTGCTGGGATGGCAATGTGCCGTAGCTTAGTGGTAGAGCTTCGTTGGCCATGGGCGAGGGTGGCTGGTTCAGGTCCTGGCGGGGGCAGTCAATTAGTTCTTCAGACTTTCCGTTTCAACTTCCTGTAACTTATGAATATCGTATAGAATGGTTGGCTATCTTCTTGCAAAACCCAGTGCTTGCATTTCGTTCATACTAGACGTCTGTCCGGGTATTTCTATGTACATCAATATGAAGTCTGGATTGCATGCAGATGGTCCATATTGAAGCTCAGGCCTGTATTTAAAACAAGCTTCTATGCAAGACATACAGTTTAAAAAAAACGGTGCTTGCACACTATTGGTGTATTCTTGCTATTGATTTCTAGGTGATCACCAACCCGATGATATCAACGTGCCGTGGCGATGATCATGCCACCAACCTTGTAAGTGTTATCATCGTCCTTAAGCCTGGGTCACGCTAGAGCTAAGGTCCACCAGACGTGTGAAGAAAAAGCTGATTGGTCACAGCTGGGATGGCAACTGTGCTGTAGCTTAGTGATAGATCATTGTTGGCCATAAGCGGGGGTCCCTGGTCCGGGTCCTGGCTGGGGCAGTCAAATTTCTTCAGATTTTCTCGTTTCAAAGTCCGGATTTTTGTACGATGCTCCGACACCCACTCTGGCACGACATCAGCCGACTGTGCCGGAGGAGTAGGACTAGCTGTTCGCACACAATGATGAGCAATTTCGCTCGTCGGCCTGTCTGTTCTCACATACACACTTGGCACCCAGCAGTGCTAGACCGTAGTTGAAACTAGAGTGGAAATGAGATTTTCGTTTACACGAGCTACATGGCCAAATGCCTGTAAGCACTAGCGTGTGGTAGTTATCCAGTGCAACCAGGGCACGGTCTACACCAACGCTCTCTGCTGCCATCGTTAAAAGCCGTCAGTGATTGGTTAGAGGTCCACTCCACCACCGGCAAGCACAAAAAATCGGACAAGAAAATTGTTCGAAATATTATCAAAACAGTCCTAGAAACACACGCAGGTTTGTGCATAAATATTGCGAACTCTACATTGCATTAGAACCGGCGGACTGAATCGCACACAGAGAAACACTCCTTCTAATTCCATTAGTATGTCCTGCATGTATGTCCTCACTTAACCTTGTGTGCTGTGCTGTACCTCCTGCAGTCTATGGAAGACTTCAAGCCGGAGTTGAAGGACAAGGCTAAGAAGTTGAAGGGCATCCCTGACGAGATAGTGGAGGTCAGCTGGTGGATATGGGCACTGTGATGTTGATACTTTGATCGGTGTAATGTAGCAGAACTTCTAGAAATGTTATGTAACATCTTCAGATACCACCCGACTTGCAATATCAGCTGATCGTCTAGTTCGTTGTAATAATGTGAAGGCGTGAGTGCTCACAGTTGCCCTCACACCCAGAGAACACTGTCATTTCTGTGCATGGTCTTGATCTAAGGGGAAAGGAAATGTCCCGTGGTGAACCTATCGATCAGAAGAGATACTGTCATAATTACATGGTCTCTATGTACTACCGGTATCTAGTGGGTTGAGAGTCTTATCACTGGCCTGCCAGGGGCGTGGGAAGGTGTTTGAGGGTGGTACGGTCAGCCACCTGAAATGCATTTTACTCGTGGGGATGGGGCGCCTCATTTGAAAGTTTTCAAATTTTAGAGCCAAAATCAGTGCCTTAAATTTATTCACTGGGTACCAGGGACACATAATGGTATGGTCAAGACCTGTAGTGATTGTAGCGTGTCCGATGCCCCTGCCTGCAGACTTTTAAATCTTAAATTTCATTCAGGTCATGTACACGTTTATGTTAGGAGCAACATTGGAGCTAGTACATACTATAGATAGCATGAGTATGACCTGTATTCTGCACTCCTCCAGGCGTATGAAGAAGCTCAGAATCGTGGTAGGCTCAGATCATCGCATGGACATTCAAGTCTACAGAAAACGGTCCCTCTCCGCGATGTCCTCACGCATGCGTCCATCAAGGATTTCCTGAGTAAATGCCGTGCCCTCCTTTGGCTGGTAAGGGAGTTCGCTTTCAATAATGTCACAGCTTCACGTACTGCCTTGGTGTACTATTGTACACACACACATAGCAGCCAAGTTTTCCGCTTCTGTTCCCTGAATGCTTAGGTACACGTTATATATGTCGTCTTTTATTATCATGTGTGACGATGATGCTGTGCCAAGTGATAACTATGCAGTATTAGACTACGGAAGTTGAACATACCTTACTGAACTGGTCAGGGGTCCACACTGTTACTACACATGTATGTACATGTGTATGCATCTGATAACAGCACAAGTCTTGGCACACGTATGCATATGTGTATTCACTGGTGATGGTCAATAGTCTCTTTGAACTGTTTCAAGTGCCCGTCAAACTCCCTTGAACCCAGGAGTACCTTATCTTTTCTAGCAGAGTAGGATCAGGTCCCACAGCTGCAAAAAGGTGCTCAACATCAAAGATGGAGCAATGAAACACAAATCATGAAGCGATGGACAGCCTAGAAATTCGTTGTTACTCCGAGTTGCGTGCAAAAGCACTCAAGTTGTCTGATGGGCGCTTTTGCAAGAAACTCGGCGTAACAACGAAATTCTCGGCTGCCAATCCGTTGATGACTTGTTTGTTTTATCCTTTATGAATAAGGACTTAGTTGGAGGCAAACATATCATCACATGAAGAGACGAAGCCAGTTGTGAAACTGGTGAGGCCTTTTGTACCATTACTTGTCGAATGGTACGAAAGGTCTCTTCGTATCCTTTATAACCGTAGATTTCCAGTGACAACTTAAGGCGATTGTTCCCAGTGTCAGGTAAGTTTTTTCTTCACTCATGTTTTTTTCCCATGCAGCCAACCAAACTTCCGGCAACAGCAACTGAAGAAGAAGAGCCCAGTGAGCAGCAGTCCACCCCGGCCGGCATCCTAATGGCGGTGCCTAACTGATATGTAGCTAATCAACTCTGCTTACTCGTCATACCGTTGTGTCAGCAGCAATGTCTCAATACTTAAATGTTTTGTGGGTTCTCCAATGCAGGTGGAAACATCTTGCCATGTGTTGTTGATTTTTATATATACAAGATAAGTCCTTTATTTTACGAAAACGAATTTTCTTTGCATGTGTTGCATGTAGGATATCGGTAACTTTTAGTCATATTCTATTATGAGATTATTCTTCATTTCTTTTTAGTCGTATTTCCCCTTGCATGCACTGGATGTATTGGAGTGTGTGTCATATCCATGATTAATACTGAATCTGAGCTCACACTGCATCTTAGAAGCCACCATATGCTGGCCAACACATGGTTAAAACAGTCATGGGTGCACGACACTACGGTACGTGCACTGGGTGTGGCATTTCCTCTGAACCTCCTATGCAGGACACGTCAATGATGCATGTCGGTTTGCATCCACCCGTGCTGTTCGGACAAGAATGCTTCAATTTGCCCTATGACGTTTGCAATGGATCACATTCTTGAATCATATTAGGTCACAAAAGAGTGTGCACATCAAAGCATACGGGAAGTATCTCGGCTCAGAAAGGGAGCAAAAGTCACCACGCAGACACCATAATAATTATTCATTATTATTATGTATGATACTATGCTGGGGTATGAGTCTTTCAACATAATCATAGACAATGGCCTTATTCTCACATACAGCATGGCTGCAAGAGCTTGGTTTGGCAGCTTACTGGGGATGGTGTAGACTGTATGCATCATTACACAGCTGTGTCTAAAAAATCCCCAAACACACGAGGGCAAATGGCCCTACTATACATACCATAAAATGGCTGCCTTGTTGGTGTATGCACGGGTGTGTGTGTGTGTGTGTGCCCGGGTGTTTGTGTGTGTGTGTGTGTGTGTGTGTGGTGTGTGGATGTACATGTATGTGGTGAGTTTGGATACTTTTTTTAACTTTTTTTTTGTCTCCACACTTTCCTTCTGTGTACAAACTGTGAAGGATGTTGCCAAACACTGGCCATGCTAAGCAACAGACAACTTCCCCAGCAGCAAGCAATGAGCGGGTGCATAGCGTGGTGCGTGACATCGGATGTTCACGCGGAAGAGTATCTAGTGTCTTTTGCAATATGTGCCTACTTCCTGTGTCACTCACCCTCGAAATGAGGATAGAAAACAAAGAACGCCAATGACAGCCAATGCCACAATATCCAAAAATTGATCCATCACAGGCAGCAGCTGGTAACACCAAGAACAGTATACAATTTCGCCGCTCCCGCCGGATGTTGGAAAATGAGATCTGGATCAATGCTATTGGTATAACATCAGTACACTTGCACAATCCTCTTCAACAGATCTTCAAGAACATGTGTCTGAGAGTGTTCCTATTTTCTAAAACGTGTGTGTCCAGATACGAACTACGTGCACATCACTGCATCAGTATGCGGATGTTACTTGGCAGCAGAGTGAAACGTGATCTGTGTTTCTGCTGATTCTGAGATCATTTTAATTATTACCCAAGACACTGACTTGAAGTACTCGTACTTGAAATCAGGTGAAGCCAGACATCTCGGATTCGGGTTCAGAAACTTGGAGCAAATAGGCAATGTCTACAACATGTCATGTTACCTGGCAACCACACATGCCCTGGAAGACCTCCCGTGCTAACAGGACCGTCGGAAGCAGTTTTCAATCGGCCCGTCTTACCATAGCCTTTCATACTTTGTGTATAATATGGCGGAGACATAATTATGCCCTGCTCAGCAGTACACATGCGTTGGTAGCTGCAATTGCAAAGTTGGTCCGGTGCTAACCTGACCAACAGGACCGGTTCCGGCGACTCTGGCTAATGATACCCGGAGGCTACCGGATCACACTGCACACACTGTAACTGGAGAATGCACAGCATGGCAGTGTCCCATTGCAGCATGACGGTGTCCCATTGCAGCATGACGGTGTCCCATTGCAGCAACACACACGTGTGCGTGCTCGGAAAGAAGGGGCAAGGCACAGCACGATGCCAGGCAGAGTGTTGGGTATTTTGCAGTTTCAGTTTTTCCGCAATTTGAGCGTCACTGTGCGCCACCAGACTCTATTGTTGGTGTCATAAACTCGTGTGCGAAGGTCTGATTCATACACAACACACCAAGTTGAAACCGAGGCGCAAGCCGAGTTTCAACGTAGGCTTAGCCTACGTTAAAACTCGGCTTGTGCTGCGGCTTGTGGTGGCCCACGTCAATTCTGGGTGCTATTGTAGCATGCTAGCAAAACTTAAAGTATCCAAAACCAGGCTCTTTTATGTTTGGTATCAGTGAGGTGCACAAAATGAACAAAAGTCAGGCAAACTATTTTACGTGCTTTTTGGTGAACACAGCTACTGCCAGAAGGGAGCAAACTGGAAAGTACGGTCGAAAGTCGAGTCCTATAGGCTATACCAGCTGTTTCTGGGTGCTTGCCCATGGACAAGACGTATGTTGTTCCTTTTTCAAACTAGGCGCCTGCACATGCACAGTGAGTCAACTGCCCACCACGAGTGTGCACAAGTACTCTAGTGAAGTAGGCTACAGCATTTTCACAGGCACAGCAATGGACTCAGCAGGCCAAGTTGTTGTGTGCATACACCTACAAGTATTCTCTAACATGTTTTCTTTCTATTCCCATAGCCCAGTGGACGGTGTAGTTCCACTTACTCAACATCTTACCCAGCACATGGCAGACATGGTGACTGACAACTAACTTCCCAGTCTTTCAGGATGTGCACACCACAGTGCTAAGCTACACCAAGGAGGAGGAGGGGGGGGGGGGGGGGATCTCTGGCTGCATGGCTGTGTAGTTATGGAGGCCATGGCGCTCTACAAATTCCTGGCATATCTACCGTACGTACATCTACAATCATGCTTTGCATTCTCTAGACCTGGGCCCGGCTCTATCCTAGCTCCTAGCTCCTAGGCTAGATGCTGTATTCATAGCTCGGTAACTCAGCGACTAATATCCATGGCTGTCGATCTATTTTGGCTGCATGCGATCATTACAGCTGAGGCGGTGAGAACTGAGAAGACCGGACGCGGCGGCAACACTCCATTGTATGATACGTTGTACACTGATCATGCAGCTCAGTCTTGGCTTGGCAGACATAGTGCGACACGCGGCTTCGACCGGTTCCGCCAATGCGTTATTTTGTCGGGCACTGGGCGAGCGCAAGAAATGAGTATAATTATAATTATCATACACGACTCCGACGGTCGAGTTCCGCTCACAACGAAATCAATAAAGAATGTCTGTATCCAATTCCAACACAGTAACAATGATACTCATAGTAACTATCACGTCAAACAATCTGCCTACGGCTCCGCGTTGCTTACCTTTTCGTCCGAGAGGAAGTATAGTGGCACCAGCTGCTTGAATGCCGGCCATTGCCGGGCGGGGCATTTCTGCAGAAAGCGTAGATCTACCATCCCAGCACGTATTGCAGTATTTGCGCTCTATCAAGTCTATGTGCTCCTCACACAACAGCAAACTCAGCTGAGGGTGCCTCGGTTCTGAACAGTCTACATATACATGTACCTGATGTACCGGTATGCCCAAATAGTTGCATTCTAAAGTAGGAACGGAAGTGTTTGATATCCGAAACTGCCACTTCCCACGTCAATGTGCTTCTTCTTGGGAGAATTAGGAGGCAACATTTTGATTTCGTGCTGGAGAAAAAGAATGATTTCCTGCGTGTCGATCAACATATATCTGCATCAGGAGTGCTGCTAGCTGTGTATGTCGTGAGCTTTTACGACTTCTGAGTCCTGGTGTCGCAAGTGCAAGCGAGAACCATAGATCTACGTCCATAGCGGCATAGGCATAGGCGCCCTAGGCATAGGCATACTGCAGGCGCAAGGCGACGGTGCGGATCACCATGGTCACAACGTGTGCAAATCTACGCAAACTGGTGTCCTCGCTCGGTGCTGCATGCTAGATCATAGTAGACATAGATGCTTAGCTCGGTTCCATTCGCAATGTCATCTACATAACATTTGTATATCTACAATCACCCAATGCTGTATACATGTACTGTACTGACCTAGACACAAAGGTGCAAGTGCGAGAAACCCCAACAAGCGTGACATGTGGACCGATGTGGTGCGGCAACAAGAGACAACCAATGCCAATGGACATATATAATCATTGAAACTGACGAGTTTTTGATGACCTACATACATGTACCTAGATGTACATGTAACAGCCGTGTGAATCTAATTATTTGCTTCGGTTTGCAAAGGTTGGGTTTCCTTCAAATCCTTGTGTGGGTATACAGCTTCTAAAACCTTCAGCAATCTAGCACTGCGTACACGTGACACAATCGAAAAATAATCGTCTGCACGACATCCAGCCTTTCAGGATGCTCAAACAAATGACTAGCAATGGACGACTCATACTTATCAGAACTATTAAACCTCAGAAAAATCAGCATTTGCGGTGGACACGTCCGATATCAAAATGCTGTATACTAGTATACATGTATTCACACAAGGAATTCAACCTTTGCAAACAGAAGATTCACACTTTGCTGTTGGGTGGGTCGTCAAAAACTCGTTAGTTATGTCCATTGGCATTGGTTGTCTCTTGTTGTCGCACCACATGTCACGCTTGTACTACGTTGTAGTGGGTTTTCTCGCACTCGCACCTTTGTCGGGCTTTGTGTCATTATTGCTAGCTATGTGTATAGTTTAGCTGTTCATTTTAGCTATTACTAGTATTAGTATCTTCTTCTTTACCTGTCTGTCATGAACAATACAGCGAAACTATCGTCGTGTGATCCTATGCATGTTACTGCAACTAGTTAGTCCATCATTGTCATCAACTAAGTGCAGTTCTGTAGGATACCGGCGTTCGGTTTGTTGCAATTCGTCCTCGGGAAGTGACAGTAGTTTCCCCTTCATATTTTCATTTCTGATAATATTGAGCCTTTGCGTTCTCGAATTGTGGTTTGACCGTTCTGTTTGATCTTGCCGTCCCGTCATCATACCAGGCCAGCATTCCATGAAGCCTTGGGATGTAGCTTGTGCTCCGCTCGATGGCGCTTACCTTCCCCTCTTTGGAATTAGCACTAATATCCATGAACCTTCCAAGTGATTAGTTAGTTGGAAGGTCGTTGGTTAGCGCTATCGAGCAATGCTCAGGCTGACTTTCATGCCTTGGAATGTTTCAGTACGAGTACTCCTTGTCCATTGTGTGCTACATTGTGCACATCTGAATGTTCAAAATCTGATTTGGTTGGTGGACTCCATCATAATAACGTTAACTTGTGCCCACATTTGTCCATGTTACAATATTTCAGCTATCTTCTCTTTAATCCACTGTTCTTGTTCCTTTCCCTTTGCCTGTATTTCACCAGATCATCGCAGATGAGGAGGCTTGAAAGTATACTTGTGAAACCGAAAACTTTCAAGATGTTCGTAAAGAGCCTGAAGTGTGTCCTTTTGCTGACCACATACATATATTCACATACAATAAGACGCCTTGTTCGTCGGTTGC